GAAACGAACACAAATTTAATTGACAAAGACACGCGGTAACACACACACACACGCACACACACACACACACGCTCACATACACACACAAGCACTAATATGTTAATTGTGTAAATTGTAAAGGAAAGGCGCCGGTGTCTGTCACACAGTTCATACTATGACAGACTCCAACGCTCAACCTGTTTGTTTAATTGTTAATGTGTATACATTTTTAATAAATAAATAAATAAATAAATAAATCTAACCAAAATACTTTCGATTCTTACAAATATTATATTTGATGAGAACCGCCGTCCATTAACTTAATTAAGTCAAAACGGCAGCGTTAACACGCGAACTTTTAACACATCTGTTACAATTTATTACATTAAAAAATTTGTCACACCCTAAAAGACTTTTGTGGACTTTAAAATTACACTTGAGTGGACAGGAAAGGGGTTTATTGGATTATGAATTTTGGGGGTTTAAACAGGCGGGGTTCGGGTATCCGGCACCGCCGCGATCCCTAGAGATAGGCAGATTATGTCCCCTCATTACCTGAGAGCTTTTTATCGCTTTATTTTTGACATATGGTGGTAAAATTTAATCTAACAGTTGATTCAACACCGTCTGGTTACTTAGCGGCAAACTAGTTTCAAGTAAAAAAAAAATTAAAGAAGTGTTATAATCTAAAAATAACTACTTATTAAAGAATACTTCCTCTTATTGTGTGTTTCAATGTTTTATTTTACATCTATAATACATAGTAGCTTTAAATAATAATTCCCCCAATTTTCACGTATAAATGCTAGTATTGTGTATAAGGTGTTGGAAAGTAGTTGTTGCTGGTACTTTACTATTGTTAATTCCGTCATAATACTATCGAGCAATCATCATGTAGGGTTACCTTAATACTCTCCTCACATAGGATATTCTTTATATCACGTTTCTTATGCATTCGCAAAAATATATTTAATTATACTAGAAAAAGTTTTTTTACACGGAATAAACTTTTTAAAGAATGAAATAGTTGAGAGAGAGTATTAGTAAAATATCTAACATGTTTGATTAACGAGCAAATATAGTCGTCGTTATCTTGAAATTGATTGCGTATTGTCCTTTTGTATTTAGTTGGTACCTGGAGTAATTAATATTTGTTTGTATAGAAAGCGTGGCGGCACTATCGTAGCGCTATTGCGCGGCCCTGCCGGCGATCAATGCGCGATAACATTGTGCTGGGTGATTGTAGTGGTGCGCGGTGTGCGTCCCGTGCAGCCGACCCTTCCTATTCGTAACTCCTGCCTCGCAATACTCTATAGCGGTTTCATTAAGATACCGTCTTTCCTACTCAACGAGTCAGTTGATTATTCCCAATTAATTCTATGATAGTCAATTGAACAAATTGTTTTTATCTTTCTCCCCTTTTAATCTATGACTACTTAGAGTAACTTCCAGTCATATTAAGAGTATTTCATTGTATGCAAATTCCTATAATCTAGATCTATAAAAGGTCTATTGGCATGTATGTATATATCACACAACTTGAGTACTCTATAACTTGGCATGTAGAGCTTAACAATTTTCTATAGAAACGCCGACAATTTTTGAAAGCTAACATACTAGAGCACTTTGTAGAACTGCTTTAAAATGTATGTAATAACCTAAAAGCAGCTCTCTAGCGTCAATAGATTTCTGTGGAATGGATCTAATATTAAAGGTCCCTCTCCTTGAACATAGCCTGCTAACTCTACTGCATCCCGTAATATTTAATGCTGCTGTTTCTAGAAATAATGGTTCATTGTTCTCTTCAGTATAAGATTATACACATAAAGACTTCACTCAGTAGAATTTAGCATAATCATTAACCGTTGGATTGGTGATTTGGCACGTCAAGTCATAGAAAAGTAATGTGAAGTATTTCTTCCCATATACTTGCCGCAGGCCCAGTAACCTCCTATTCTTTTTTCCCACCTATTCTCCTAAAATCCTTCCTCGATGATATGCTATCAACCATATGCTATCAATCATTTAATCAGTTTGTTCGGTGTAACACGCCACTTTACTCCGTTTTATGCTATTGATCAATATGATTGGTGTGAACACGGCCTAAAAATTGTGATGCGTAGATATACGCTGTGTAGTGGCGCGTGACATCAATTGGCAGCTCCCGGCGCGAGTGCCCTTGACACTGATCACATTGTGGCCATTCCTTATGAACCAATTTATTTCATTCAATCGCCACTGCGTTACGTCTCTTGTATACAATCACAGCTGTTCTTTCTGATACTATTTACTATGACATATTAATTATTTTATCTATTGTGACTTTTCGGCTAAAATGCCGGGCTATTATGACACTTTAGTACCGTGTTGTATTTCCAAACGTTATTTTTCAAATGCTGTTCAATGTAATTAGGTAATGAAATTGTGACATTATTATTTAAAAAAAATATTTGAACAAGTTCACTGTGGAAATATCAAATTAAAACGCTTCTAATAAATAGCATAAATTCTAAATTTTTTGTCTGAAAGGTATTCTGTTGACTATTCATTGTTAGTTGAATATGCAATAATAGCTGGTAACACCCATGCTTGGAATTCTGTCTGTTATGTCATCGACTGAAATAGATTGTGATGAATGAGTTAACTGCTAAAAGCGGTTATCAGTTGTTATCGACGCCAAATTTATCAACAAGCTTAATGAGCAAACACATACGAGAACATAATATTAATATTAATTAAGTACTCTTTAGCTTCAGTTTTTAGTCAGTTTCTTAAAACTGAATTTTCGTCACTACAAATCGCAGTAATAAATTTCGGACATAGTCACTTTTTCTCAAATATTCTACAGTATGTTGTTAGTTTATGTAAGAACATTTATAAAATTGAAATTTAGAAATAGCGAGATAGCGATTCTAATTCATGCAAGTTTGTAAACTTTAATTGGCTAATTAGCCTTTTAAACATCGCAAAGACTTATTAAAAGTTGAATATTTAAAGTTATCTGTGAAAACGGTTAAAAAGAGAATGTGTATTGATAAAAGAGAGTACAGTTCCACATGTTAAACAAGCCGTGCCGAAGCCTCTGCAGGCTCATTAGCATCCGCCCCGGACTATACGATTGGCCCTTATGCGTAAGATAATAATTTACTTTATGCAAAATGTTCGCTTTCTCCACAAACA